CAATTACTGTCAAGTCAAATAACAATATTCAAGTAAAAACAGTTCAACACTAGCCATTATAATTGGTCCTCGTCCACACATTTTTCTCCTTGTTAAATAAGATGCAAGGAAAACAAAATGGTGCATGTTTTCCCTCACACTCACGTAGTCACTAGTATGTCGAATAATTACTAGCATTGAATCGCCGACAAAACTTTCGTTTTGCTGATTTTATGGTTGTTTCAATTTTCAGAACAGGCTGATCCGGCTCCTTGCTTTCAACCAAGCTCCTTGATTGAAATAATTGAACCGCAGGATGCATAAAACACTATAAGTAAAGTCTTGTTCGAACCCGAGATGTAAAACACATTTCTACACTGATTTAAAGTCGGCCCTCACCATCCACATCAGATGCAAAACATTGGAGTATCGTATTGGGGACACTGTTTTACTGACAGCGCGATGGAGACTTCGTCTTGGAGTTGGGTGTCGCGATAGCCCGATAAGTGCTGTCCCAAGCGGAGTTAACGGCGCAAGTGTGAACATGATCTGCTAATAGCGCCCAATGAAAACTCTGAAGCGACTTCACATGGTACCCAATGGTCCTTATGGAACGAGGTCTAAGCAAGTTGTTGCTTCGAAAACGTGAACAGCAACGAAGCCACATCGGTTCGTCAATATAATACCGGTATAGAAATTTAAAAAAAAAACAGAAAAAAGTCATACTATTAATGAGATTGTAATAACGAAGTGAATATTCTGTTTTGTTCAAATTTTTGGGTGTTGCGAGAACCTTATAAATAATAAATAATTGGTAATGACCGTAGGAATTCAAAAATATTAAATTATAGGCGCCATTAGTTATTTTGGGCACTAAAACTTGTCCCTAAGTATTTCGAGGTGGAAAACTTAGGGTTTTCTGACAAATAACAATACAAAATAATTATTTTTTTTTAATGTCTACTTAACCTTTTGCAAGGTAAAATGACTTATCGACTACACAACTCACATTTCCCCGACATAAAAAGTCTGCTACAAATTATCTGAATTTTTCAACCAAAAGACTTACATTTTTTCCCCTTTTTCCAGAATGGCTATCCTATTACTGTTTATCTCTGTTTTATGGCATCAGAACACTTCATTTTAAGACTAACTGAATTTAATTTTTATACATAAAAAAAACATTTTTTTCCATTGAAATTCGCTTTTATTTGCATTTGATGCTTAATCTTCCCCCGAGGATGTGACATTACCTTGTGAAATTTCTCAGAGATTAACTCTGATTTTATCTTTTGCACAATAAGGGACCAAGGGCCTATGGCAGAAAACTAGCCCTTCGTAAATGAATTTTTGGACCTTGCGTCCACACCCCCGAGAAAGTGCTTTTAGCGCCATCCCGAAGGCATCGACATTTCTACACTAAGTTGCGTTCGCTGCCGCTACAGGCGCTGTTTGCGTCCTAAAGCATTAGGGAGCAAAGTTGAATTTTGAAACAATGACTGTTTACTTACCTTGGTTATTTGATCAGTGAAATTCTATAACAAAATTCCATCTTATGAGAAAGTACATACATTTTAATGTAACAGTGGAAAAAGATGTTGGTTTTCTATATATATACTTCTCCTTTTAAATGTACTGTTTATTAATTTTTCATGTTCTTTTAATAAAACGTTTTCAGACCTTCAAGAACAATTTCTCCATCTTTTTCTATTTAGAAAAAATATCACAATTATTGCCACAAGACATTTTACCCATCAAAAAATATTTTCCCTACATATAACTAAATATATGATCCCTTCCTTAATTGGCTTCATTAAAAATATAATAATAAATTTTTATGTTATTTGTCGTTATTTAATTCTACATAAACAAATGTTTCAACTATAATAATAATAATAATAATAATAATAATAATAACAGTACATGATAACAATTATGGTAACAGCTACATATGATTGTACTATGATTACTAGTAGTGAAGCAGTGCTTCCTTTAAATTTGCTACCTGAAATATCATATGCCATCCCTTCATTTATTTGCAAATCACACTGCTACATGTCCATAATTTCACTTTGACCATGTAAAATCTTATCTAATATTATTACAAGGGAAGTTTAATGGTGGTAATTTTATTCTGTTTTAAGAATCTCAATAACTACTGTAGGGTACTGTATTATTATTATGAGCAGTAACTACTGTATATTGAAAATACATTCTGGAAATATTGAGATTACTCCCCAATTATCAAAGCACTTTGAAATAAAGAATATTCTCAAAGTGTTTTCAAGTTTTTAATAGGATAAAACGTTCACAAATATATGTTCAAATAATATTTCATCAACCATTAAAACTTGGCGTAAAATTTTTAATCAAATTACAAAATTCTGCTATTACTAACGAAATGTTGGAAAAACCATTGGCCCCACTCACCCATGCACACAACCTCTGAAACCAATTTATGAGATTATTTTTGTTCTGAAATGTCCGAATTAATATAAATTGTTAAATTTGTAACTGTTACAGGACTTTGAATTATAGCAATGCATTAACTCTGTCTGCCATCATGAAAAGTGCAGATAAAATTTAACAGAAAAAACATTATTTCATAGTTTGAAGAACTGATGCTACTAATCTGCCACTCACATCTGGTACTCCAAAGAACAAAAGTGAAAAGTCTATGTTACATTCCTATGCACAAAGACATGCTCCTATTTATTTAAGATTTATATTTAATGGAAATTAACTTCTTAGAAATTATAGCCAAGGAAAATTGGCTTATTACTTCCATAAACAGAGGTTTTGGTTTCACTACATCAGCACATTTGAATTCGGAAAGTAATTCTATAATATGACCAAAGAAAGGAGCACAAAATTCATCATCTAAAGTAGGGTGTTTTGGGGGAAAAACAATTTTATCAATTTGAATTAACAATAGAAACAAAAAAGGAACGTTAGAATCCATTTTGTGTATTTATATACTAAAGAAATTAGAGATGAAAATAAATAAATGAGGCAACTGAAAATGCTTTTGGCAATTGAAAAAGTGAATTGAAATACTGGAAGAAGACTGAAGAAAAACAGTCAATCTTTAGTGACGTTTCAGGTACTTGAGAAATTATTTTCTGTATATAGTGGCAAATTAACTTAAATTCCTAATGAAATGTGAAGTTAAATAAATAAATAATTTTAAAAAAAATTCCATAACTTGTTTAGGTCTTAGGATCCATATCTTGTTTCACCAAGGATTGCAATATTTCATAAATTACTGAGTATTTATCTTAGGAAGGATACCAGAAAAAGGTGTAAATCAGTTTCCAGAATAATTTCATATTTAGAATAGTATCTTTGAATATTCATAATTTTTAAAGCAGTCTACTCTGCAAATTTGTACTCTCCTTTTAATATGTTAAATACAGGCTATCATTAATAATGAAATGGAAATGGGAGTTAACTCACATGTTGGAAAAATTAAGACTTATTTGTTTAAGATATAAATAAAAAGTAAATGCCACTTTTTATTAAAACCACTTCTTATGGAGCCATCCGTAAATTATTACATAAAGTAAATTTGGAGTATTTTGAATACTCTCGCTTCCCCTTTAATGCACCAGTAATACAAGCTTAACCCCCTATTCTTAAAAAATTACAAAACACTTGCAATTCTTCCCTACAAGAAGTAAAAATAAAAAGGACCATGAAAACACTATTTCACCTGTTTCCATGCAACAGGACAGGCAGATTACTCAGAAAATATAATAGGACAGAGTTAGGCTATAAATGTATAAGGCTGTTTGCAGTGCTTGTTTATATTGTCTTCTAGGCCATATATGATTTAATTTATTTTCATCAAAAAACAGTAAAAACTGTACGTGACATGTGGTGAAAAGTATAATCTGAGTATGTTTTCTTGAGCTTCGGAATCCCTTCCCCACCCTCTCTTATTAAACATAGCTTAATGATGAATAAAAGTACTAAAACGTTATGGTTGACAACATTTGAAAGCTAGAAATGTTTGCCTTCAAGTACTAGAAAACTTATTAGCACGGATAAATGAACTACAGATTTGATTTTATAGTATTGCTAAGAAAATATCAACACCCGGCTCTATTACTACCACAAATCGCAAAAGGCAAGCTCAATAAAACATGTGCATAATAAAGTTACATTTGTTTCACTAAATTTGTTAGTTTTATGAATGGTCAGTGCATACAAAAGCAAAAGAATTTCCAAAATATATTGAAAAAAATGCATTGCAATTTTTTCATAGAGTTTCCTTCTTTTAACCCTTTTTTAACTCACATGTGGGTCACCAACTATAATTTGAAAAATGCATAATTATCAATGCTAATAGTAAAAAAAAGGTTTCCAATAACAATTCTGAGCATCCCTTCATTTCCCTTTCTTACTTATCAATTTATTTTATTGCATTTATTTTTCTATGTTAAACCTTATTTCTTACAATTTTCAAGTCATTCTTGATTATAATCTTAAAAATGATGAGAATTTACTTCTGTTTTCACAAAGTCTTTGTGTAAGAAAGAAACCAGAAGAATAATGAATGAATCATATTAACAAGTTTCAGATATATTTATGTTATTCCACATTTGTGTTCATTCCTCTTTCTTCTATTGTGATCATGTCATTTCTATTTGAATGTATTCTATGTCACATAATGGTTAGTGTTTTATTCTCAGTAACCACCATTTTGATGTAAAAGTAATTTAGTAACAATGCTCATGTCACCTTCTAACAATAGTACTTACCTGAAAATTTGAAGAACTTTGCGACTACCCTCAATATCTTTTGAATGGTAGACACCATATAGAATACACTCTTGGACTACCAATATTCCTTCTCTTCAGAGAATTTTGGACAGGTAATTATGGCAAAGGAAATATAAATTAGCATCTTTCATGAATGTGAGCCAAAAAATGTATTAGCAAATAATGCCAAAGTAACACAGCAATTATTTAATGAAAGAAAGCTTTAAAACTGAGTTGTAATTTTTAACATTTTATTAAGTCCAATTCCTCACTAGAACAGGCAAACACAGAAATCGATGCTATTTCATGGGAATCTAAGTAGCATTCATATCCAATTGACAAACAATTTTATTTTTTTGGCAATTTTGGTAAGAAATTTATGAATGAATTTCACTTCCTAATTCCTCTTACTTTTCAATAAGAACAATTTCTTAATTTGGTAAATTCTTGACATTTCATGTGAATAATACCTCTCAATAGCTGTCAGCAACTGAAAGTTTGGCTAATATCTTCAGTAATTTACTTTCTTCTTACTCATTTTCAATTAGATACTTATAAATAAAGTTTAAGATTACATTTTCCTTAGAGAAATTTTGAAATCAAGATAATTATATTGATATTCTTGAAGAAAGTGAATGACATCAAGACATAGGAGTGCATTTACAACTGCAATGAAATCTGATATAAAATTTTGGAATGTATGAAACTTCAAGGAAAGAAAGGCATGTTGCACTTAAGGAGTGTAGCCAACCACTGTTCAACCACCAAAATGGGACTGAGACTTACACAAGCAATAAAATCAACAAAAAACAGCAAATAAAACAAAACATTTCATCCATTTCTATGGTATATTTACTTTTTTGTTTACATCTTGAATCTGAAATTTACTCTTCAGGTTAGCTATGCCATCTACAACACTGATTTTATTGAAACTCATCAGTATAGAGAACTTAAGTTAGTAGAACAAAAGACATCACATCAACAAAGAATGTCTCCACTCACACAATAACATTCATGATTATCATTGGCACATATTTAGACTCCCCAAATCCATCCAAACTTATGATACAACATTAAATTCACTGTAAAATTATGTTTAAACACAGAATAAAGATGGGAGCATTGCCAGATAATGTAGTACCACACAAATTACACTTTAGAGGTTTTTACAAGACACTTATCTTCTCAGACTTTTCTAAACATTTAAAATGCCGTTTCGTTGGCACTTGTAGGAATAAACACTTGTTTAGAACCTACAGTGTGAGAGGATTAATTATTACATGTTGAAAATTGGTTAGCTGATTTCTCAAATTTTTGTCACAATGTATTTATCAAGTTTCTTACATCCCATCTATAAAATATTAAAAGTTTAGCCTTAATCTTATTGGCATGAACTCTCTAACATATGAGTTTCCACAAAATCAAAAATTTGTACTTGGCATGGTATTTTTTAGACATGGGTAGCAACATGCACAAGTGTTCTTGAATGTTGATTGGAATTTCTAATCATATAAAAAAAGAAACAATACAAACATATTTTACAAAATTATCTTCCAATATTGATGTATCAAAATTTGATGTTACATATGTAACAAATTCTTGCTTTAGATGATGTTTGAAGGTAATTGGACTAATTTTTTATTTTACAATCATTCTCTTGTTCTCTCATGAAGATGCTAACAACAAAGTAAACAAGTCACAATGTTTCATTAGTTTATATTTTTCATATTTGCATCAAAAATCATAAATCTCCACACATAATGCAGATTTATTTGACTGTAGCACCAGACTACAGAGATAAAAGACTTCTGTTGCTGCTCCAATGGCCGCAAACGGAATCACAGTTTCAATCGTTAGTATTTTCACCACTACTTTACATTGTTCAGTGTCAGAATGACACAAATTTCTTCGATGGTGGAAAAGGATTGTGTCACTGCACTTCTAACAACAACATATGGATCAGTTCGTCAATTTCAATCTGACAACATATGCACTGTCTGTCTTCCATAACATAGCAAGTTCTATTTGACATGACAAATTGTTTTGAACTTAAAACACTGTATCAGATAATGTTTTCACTTCAAAAAAGCCATAAAAACAAAAAGTCCATGTAACTACATAGTTTTACTGTCAGACAAGTATTTAAGTGAGAATGTGAGTTAAGGACAATTGGAAGTCAGAAGGCTGAAGGTCAAGATGGCGAGAATAGTTCAACGTGAATTTTTCTGGATATCACTTCAATGAAACCACCTATTTTTGTACACATTTAGAAATCTGTCCTCTTCTTTTTACATAGAATGTTTCATATGTTCAAGATCATAGGATATGTTTCCACTGAAGAAAATAGTACAGCAGCATACAAAACAAATAACAAAAAGGCACAACCTACATCAAATATCAAAGAGTGTGGTACATTTCCAGGCCACTAATAGTAAGCTGGTACATTGTTTTCTCACAATTAAATGAAATGTAAATTGCTGGCCATTATCATTCTCTCATTGTTGTAATAGAATAATCCTGCAAAAACAAAAAGCTGCCCTGTCCAGACAGTTTATGCCTTCTAGGACAAGATTTGTTTGTATCAGCTCTCTAGCATTACATTGTTTTTCATCAATTTCCACTAAAATACGATAATTTTGATTTATAAAACTAACAGGGAGTAACGGCACCATAAGGGCAATTCATATATATTTACTGGAATAAATATGTTATAATTTTAAAACCACATAGATTATGACACTTCAAATGTACTCTCAACATTTACTTATATAAGTGTAAACTAACTTCTCCATTTTCATGCCTAATAATAACAAACATCTTTGGTTACTTCTTGCAAATATATACATTCTCTCTCTCTCGCTCTTGCACTCTCTATCCACAACAATTAAAATAATTTAGTTCCTACACTCAGAAACTCTCCTGAGTATTACCACTGCATGTTTTCCATGGTTTAATGAGATTTCTTTATGAAAGTATCAAAAATATTAAAGCCTAATATGCAGAGGCTGAGACACTTTAAATCCCAATCAATGCAATGCTGGTATGTGCCCATATAGTTATCCTAAATATATAATTTTTAATGCATTTGTCTCCTGCTCAGAGAACTTCTATTTAACTTTCGAGTGACACATTTTTAATTATTTCAAGCAAAGATGTTATGTGCAATATAACAGTAATAAAGAAAAGAAAAAAGAATATATTAAAAATACATCTGACTTTTCTTTTAAATATTTTCTGATACAAAGACTCATTAAATATATGGAAATCTACTCAACTTATATAGTATACATAATAAACAAATTATGATCATAATAGTAATAAATTTTATACATATACATCATATTTCCCACAAACACAGCTTCAAGATATATAGCCATGCATTATGTTTTCCCATCATTACATTTGCATGTTTTTCTATTTAAAATACCATAATAAAAATGGACCACTTGCTTCTCTTTCAAAACTCAGTACCTCAGCTTTCTAACTTGAAATAGTCAAGGCCAGGATAGTTTAAGACAGCAACTGTGTGTATGTGTGTGTATAATGGGAAAGGGAGGAATAGACATAAACAAAACGGGGACGTTTTCTCACTCCTTGTATTATATTTTTGTTCCATGATTCCTCAGCAAAGCGTAATAATTTTCATTGTCAGGGAAGCGACTTGAGAATGAATCTTCAAATTGATGACATTTCCTCTGTCTTTAAGCAAAGCTTCATGTTCTGGAGGAGTGGGAGTTGCCTGAAATTCTCTTCACTCATTGGTGAAAGCCATTACGCTTTTATCTCTTACCACACATGACAAATATACAGGGATGTGACAAGTTTTGCATCCCTGTGTCACCCAGGAATTGACAATGCTATCCAATTAAAAGATGGATGACAAATAAAACAACTATGCTCACTCTGGTGTGGGAGGCAGCAATGATATTTTTCAGAACATGATGAGTTCAGAACAACAGGCCACATTGCCTTTTGTCCTTGGAGCTTGTGAAGTTGCTTTAGCTAGTCACCAGGATGCTCTGGACAGGAACGATTAACTTCAAACCATCTGTCAATGCAGCTGCACAGAAAGCACAGATTATTAGCACATCATCTTCAATTATTAAATCTTAAATGCTAAAACTCCATTTTAATTATATTTAACCCTCCAGCAGGTGTGTCATTGGTACCAACGCAAGCAGTGCTGCATTTGTGAAATAAATATGTTTAGCTTTATAAGTCATGAAATCAAATGAAGTGGGATAATAATCTTAAAACACATAAATGAGTGTATTTTTTATTGAAATTTAAATTATCTGAATACATTTCCATTGGAGAAGGGGAAAAAAAATTTCTGAAATGAGGAGTAATAAGTCTCTAAACTTATTTTTTGAACAAAACATTGTAGTTCAATTTTCATTATTAGAATGTTTTTAAAATAAATTATTTAAGGTCACAGCAACAGCTAGGTCATTAGCGACCATTATAGATTAACAGTATGGTTAACAGTATACTGTGATATGGTGATGGTGAGGGGTAAAAGGACGAACACAAATACAACCATGCTCAAGGCGGGACTCGAATCCGCTATTCTTCAGACCGAGATCACTACGGCACTACTGCCTTCCGGACGGCCGCTACAGCCTACTGCCTTCCGCTATGGCCTACTGCCACAGCCATCCGGACAACTAGCATATCTTGTTTTGTAAGGAATCAGTGAAACCATTCCTTAGAACCAAAATTCAAAATATAAAATTGAATGAATTAAAAAACTGGTACACATGCCATGAACTTGGTACACATGTCCCTTTAAAGTAATAGCTAGTATGATCAAAAGAAAATATAAAACTAAACAATTGGATAATCTGACAATTACATGCAGAAAATTTTTCTTCCATGAACAGGTGTGTGTAGCAACAAGAAATGGAAATGCTGTTCAGTAATCAACTAATCGCAAATGGAATGCAACACTGGATGCTGCAATTTGTTAGCTAATACCACCAACTGTGAATAACTCAAATTGGAGCACACTACAGCAATTCAACCCTTGCAGCATTAGGAGAACTTATCATGAAGCACTCAGGGCTGCAAGGGGCCTGCTGGAGGATTAAGTGAACTCCAATGATGATTCCTGAGTAGAAGTGATAATTATACAAGTGAATGATACATATTTTTGATTCATGGGCAATTTCATTTTCATCAACACTAAAACTTTTAGTTCAATAATTTGTTCAAATACTTTTAGAAAATAAAAAGTTGTTCAAAATGTATGTTATTTCAATTTTCAAGAGAATAATTAGTAATTGGGCATACATTTAAAGTTTAAAAGTGAATAATTTTTAAAGCCTGTGATGTTTTGGTAACTTTATTCTGACAAGGAACACAAGTAGACACTTTTAAAGTATTACATAAGATCTAATCTGTCAAAGAAGAGAATGTGAGAAAGATTTCCATTTGATTTTAAAGGTTTATTCCCCCCCCCCATTGAAAAATTTAAGTTGTTTTTTTCCCAAGAGGCAAAAAATGTTTTGCAAAGAAATGTTTTACAAACTTAAATTTTTTGTTTATTTTGCTCCTTTAGGAACCCAACTTTTGTTTATTTAAAAAAATCGAACTAATACATATTTTTTTAAATATCAATAACATTCTTGAATCAAATATTGAATTATATTACAGTCAGTTTAAATTTTAAGAAAACATTTTTCCTTTTTAAAACATATTTCATCAATTATTTGAAAACATGAAGTTCAATAATTTGCAGGCACATATACTATAAATTATGGCATTATTTATGTAACTAATGACTAAAAAGAATGACTCTTAGTAACTCGTTATAACAGTTTGTTTCCAGAATGAAAATGACCACATCCTGTAGAATAAAACTGAAAATGATTTTACAAAACACAAAAATGTGACAATGACATTGAACATTACATATAACAATATTCACATTTATTATTATTTTAAGAATTTACAAACTAATTGAAATACATTTCAATACTCTATATAGAGAATTCAAAATACATTTTGTATATGGTAGAATTCTGAATCCAATTAGCCTTTTTGTTTGCATGCTCAAAAAACAGCTCATAAAAAGTCAAATTTTATTTGGTGAGACCCAGAAAATAAACTAGCCCCATTAATTGACTAATAATTTGCCAAATTGTTTAATAGCTAAGCCAATTTGATATGTTTTTATGAGAAAATTATTTATTTCTAATATAGAATAATCAAATTGAAACTAATGATGCTCAGATTAGAATCCCTACTGTTTGATGAACTAAAAAAAATATATATCTTTCGTGAGACCTTCACGAAAAAGTCTATTTTATTATGGGTTCCAAATGCATTTCTATTCAACCATCAGAGAGATGAAAACCATTTACTAAATCCTCCATTAACACATGATAAATTATATTAATTCATCAATTCCCCCTGATAGAAATAAGAATGAAAGGAAAAAAACAAAACAAAAATAGGGCTCTAGGGTTCTTGAACTCAAATGATATATATTTTATACTGAATGTGCAATCCCAAACAAATGCTAATGCCAACATTTCATGATGCAATGCTTTTCTATGTTGCAGATGAATGCCTCATGAAGTTCATATGGATGAAAATTAGTAATAACTTTTAATAAGGAAACAAAAATACCATTAAAAATAAAAAAGGAAAATTACAAAATTTTTTGGCAATATTTAAAACAAAATTGCCATAAAATGAAATATTACAAAAAAATTTAACTATAATATGATAAGTCATAATCACAGTTTGTTTCTGAGTTAGAAATGACTTCTTTAGCATCAGTTAGAGGACGCTATGTCATATCACAATATAAACCTTGCTAATTAGGTAGATATTGCATTTGAATTGAATGAAGTTGTATGTTTTATGAATAAAATGAGGCATTCAGAATCATCTGTGCATTATTTTTTAATAATATTAAGGCATTACACATGAAATTTTGTCAAATTTGTAGAAATTTTGTGCTAATAGGAAAATATTGTAAAATATTAGCAGTAGAACAACATGTATTAGCTTGTATGATACCACTCAATCCAGTGCATTATTTTTAAATTCACTTGTGATATGAAAATAACATGTGGATACTTAGAAATAATAAAGAATAATTAACAAACATATTAATTCAACTAGTTCATTCAAGGAGTACTGACCTTTTGTGGTAGATGCATAGACATGGCAACCTGGCTATAGTGTCCCCCTGCTGCAGTTCCTCCAGGCAGATAACACATTCTCCTTTGTCATCTGTCAGGACATCCTCTGAAACAGGACAATCAAGTTTTAGATTTAGGAATTTCCCTGTCCGAGGTAATTCTATCCAGCCAACGAATTTGTAACTTAACCTAATAAATTTGTCAATAACTGTACTCAAAGCAAAGAATATTTGACACAAATATCATAAGTGTGTCATTCAATATCAAATATCAAAAATGAAAATAAAATTGCATCTTGTTCTTTCGAATTGGTTATCCTAAACTATCCTAATAAATCCTATTGGTTTTCAAAAACTGACCAGAGATGTATATAAATTTCTCAAGAATATACAATAAATTAAACAAAAATTAATAAATAAATCACGTACTGATGAGAATATTTCAATAAAGAATATATACAGTCCAACAGACATCACTGTTTTTGGTGAGTGCTCATACTACATGGAACATGTGTTTGGAAACTACGCAGTGTATCAAGTTCCAAAAGTTGGCTGCCACCTAGTCTGCATGCTAGTATCCAGCATGTTCTCCAGTTTTCATGTTTTTTGACCATGTTGTGAGAATTCTTGGGTAATCCACGTTGCTTGGGCAAGCCCCACTGAGGATGGGAAAAGTGTTTTCCTGAAAGTTAACTCAAGATAATAATTAATAAGAATTATTAAATCTTTTGTGGAGATTATTTCCTTTACCATATTATGGATTACCACAAGATATCTGCTACCACCATGGAATTTCTTTTCAAGTATTTGATCTTTGTTAGTATTGGACAAGCTCAGAGAATACGATAAATGGTTTCTACTTGTTCCTGGCCAATGTGGTATTTATCATCTTGAGATATTTCGAGAACTACTTTATCATAATGTCTTGTTCTCAATACCTGATCATGGGCAGCTATTACCACTGCTTCCTATTCTGACTACATTCTTCCCCTTTTAAGCCACAAAAAAGATTGATCTTTATTGACCTGCACCTTGTTCATTCTCTTTAGATATTGTCCATGGAGTGGTTTTTCTTTTCATGATTTAACATTTTTTTTGGTACCACATTTCATGTTAAGTAGCATAAAAATTTCAATTCCTCTCCCATTCCCAGTCTCTCCCATTCTTCAGTCAGATTTGATGACAGCCTCATTAGCGAATCATCTTGATGACTCGCTACATACATACCCATCCTGACTATTGCATTTTCCCAGGAGGCTACAATTTCTCTGAGGACTTCTTCCTTCCTTACATGACACATAGTGTATGTAAATCAGCTCGAGGGTGACAACATTGTAAACAGTTTTCTGGTTTTTCGATCTATGATTGGAATTTCTTGCTCAGTCTAGTCCACTTGTCCGTAACTTTACTTGGCTACAGGCACCACCAAACTACCCATTATTTTTGGAGCTCAGGGCAGACTGCATAACAAGTCTCACTCTCCTGTAATACTCACTGTGAATTCTCTCCTTCATTATGCCCTTTAAAATGTTCTCGTATTCTTCAATGCCCAGATATTTTTATGTTTTACAAGGATCCAGATCTTGAAGCATAATGTGCATATTAACTTGCACATTTTGACTTTTGCACATTTGTCAAGACTAAATTTCATGCAGATGTCATTGCTAGAAATCACTGTAAACATACATTTGGGAGAGAATCACTTTATTCTTAGCAAACACTTTTTTAAGATTATCCATGTAAAGCATACTGGTCTTTCATCACCATGGAGCTTGTAAACAACGGCAGTGAGCAACAACTGCCTCAATAGTGGAATTAAACTAATGCAAAACAGCAAATGGGATAGCATATCTCCTTGAAAAATTCTGTTAATCTGAATACTTCCTGTTTGTACTACTGCCTTTCCA